TTAGGGTTTTGTTTTGTTTTGTTTTTGTTGTTCAGTTACAGTTGTCCCGCCTTTTTCTCCGTTGCTCTCCCTTGCTCTACAGCCCCCACTCCCACAGTCAGCCCCCGACATTATCTGTGCCCATGAGTCCTCTGTCTGTGTTCCTTGGCTTGCCCCTTCCCCTTCTTTCCCATATTATTTTCCTCCCCGCCTCTGGTCACTACTAGTTTTGAGGTGGCTGGTGGTTGTTTTCGAATGACTTGAACACAGGCTGTTTGCAAAACATCGTAGCTTCCTTTCTCCAGTGGGTTTAAGTGGTCAGAAAATACACACGAGGCTCATACATGTATTTTTTTAGTCGTATTATTTTCTACATAAGTTAATTTGTTGGCTTTATTGTCTTTCTTATAAAGTTTGTTTTCTGAGAAAAATGTCATGTCTTTTTTGCAATTTCACAAATCACTAATGTTCAGCAAATACTCAATAGGTATAATGTCATGAGAGATACACAGTGAATATGTGGTCACCAATAAGAATGAAATCAGAATTTCTTTGTACATGGTATTTACTTATACAAGCAAGGTATATTTTGAATTGCACCCCTCCCTTTTAATTGTTTTAACTCAGCATGCTGGACTCAGAATATGCTTTTCTCAAAATCCTTAAAGCTGGAAAATAATTAGAATTATTTGATAATCATTTCTCAATATATAGAAATATAGATTCATTATTTTGTAAACCTAAAATGAATATGATGTTATATATCAATTACACCTTGATAAAATATAATAAATAACTTTATGGTTTTAAATTTATCTTAATATCTCTAATTGAATAATCAAAGGTACACCAGATATAATAAGCCTTCCTTGCCTTCAGATATTCTATTCAAACATTCAAGAAAAAGGGGAATTACTTTGTGTAATATTTTTAGAAACTTTCTTCAGGTTCAAATCTCAACAATTCCTCATTTCTTGAATAATAGTTATAAGACACATAAACACAGAGAGACCCACATCTCATCAAAAAAGGAAAGCCCTGTTTCTTGTAAAAATAGTCATGTCTTGAGTTCCCAGTTTAGAACTGAGCCAAGAGATGTTCAATCACCTTTGATCTCTGAGAAAAATAGGATAAATATTAATCTAATCTCATTTTCCTCTTGAAATAACAGCACAGATCATAGAACTTCCTTCTGCCCCTTCACTACACAGAACATTTGCGAATTGCTTAAATAAATGTTAGATCCTAACATCATCTTATGACTTTAAAATGATGAATTCAGTGATAAAAATTGCCCCAGAGTTTTGAGAAATAAATGGTAAAATTACATAATCTCTTTCTGAATCAAAAGTAAAAAATATTATAAAAAATGGCTATAGTGCTGTGTAAAAAAAAGAAAATTAAATTTTAAATGATCCTGTGCACATGCTATTATAAATTTGAATGGAATCAAATACTCTGTATCATGTAAGTAAGAACCATAGAGAGATATTTTTCATGCATATGAACATACATATATGCACATAAACATAAAGACATAAATGAATGTCTACATATGTGTCCATACATGATCTTTTGTCTGGATTCTTTACTTAGGCTTAGAAAAGCACCTAGCAAATGGTAGTCACTAAAAATGTGTTAAATAAACTTGCTTATTGTCCAAGTTCAAACATACCACCACACAAAATTGTCTTTCTTTCTTTTCTTAGAATATTTTTAAAATTCTGAGTTTAACTTTACTTAAAATTTTAGAGTATTTTGTTATCTTTTTTTACTTTATATTTTATCTCAATATTTTGAATAAATAAATATCAATAAAATGTCTACTAACTGTCTTTTTAAATTGGTATCAATCTCATCTTTTACTTACTTTTTTATGCACACCAGGGGTATGTATTGAAGTTCCCAATACTTCTGCATTTGATGTATGTATGATAGACATCCATTTTTATGTTTTTATGTTGGTATAAAAAATTTCCCAGCACTAAGTATTTAATAGTGTCTTATTTTTTACTTTATCTGCAATGCTAGCTCATATATTTTTTTCACCTATGCATGTCACTTTCTCATGTCTGTATTTATCTCTTTTTCAATTTGTTAATTTGTCTATATTCTCATATCACTTTGTCTTAATTCATAAAGCTTTAGCAAAGTTCATAATGCCTAGCAGGACAAGGATTCACCTTTTTTTATTCTTCAATATTTATAGGCTACTCTTGGCTTCTTGCAGTTTAATGAAAATTTAAGATTCTGCTCTGTAAAGTACCTAAGAAAGCTTGAGATATTATTTAGAATTGATATGACTCTCTAAAATATTTTAGGATCATTGAACCATTATTAGCTTCAGTAGTCTTATCAAAATTTAGTTATTTTTGAAAACACTTTTATGAAATTATATAATGAGTTCTACATAGATATAAACAAAGCTAAAAGAATGATCTTTACATATAGGAATAAAAAATAGAAATTCAATTTGAATTCCCACCCTTATGAGCTTTGTGCTCTTATGCAAGGCCCTTACCATATGTGATAGGCAACTTTACCTACAAAATAGAACAAATTATATCTGATTTTAGATAATTATGTCTAATTATGCTCATAATTACTCTACAGTGTTTCTACTGTCATTGTTAATGATATTTAAAATTGTTTCTGTTTATTATTGATCTTTAATATAACAGTTTTTGCAAATTAATGCTACATCTAGCTATACTGATATCATTTCTATTAAGTGACCATTAAACTGTTTTTCATTATTTATGTAGAGAAACATCATCAGCAAAAAAAAATTAAGTTCCTATGCCTTTAGTTTCCTATAGTTGTCTTAAATGTGCTAAAGAATCTCCACAATGATGTTGAAAAGATGTGGTATTAGTGACCATTTTGCCTTCAGGATTTTCTAAAGGACTATTAATATCTTGAAATTAAGAATGAGCACTGGCTGGTGTGGCTCAGTGGATTGAGTGCTGGCCTGTGAACCAAAGGGCTGCCTGTTCAATTCCCATTCGGGGCACACTCCTGGGTTGCAGGCCAGTAGAGGGTGAGCAAGAGGCAACAACACATTGATGTTTCTCTCCCTCTCCTCCATCCCTTTTCCTTTCTCTAAAAATAAATAAATAAAATTTCTTTTAAAAAAAGAAAGAATGATGCCATTTGCAGTGTTATTCACAGTGGACAATAGAAACAACCAAAGTTTCCTTCAATAGATGATTGGGTAAATAAGATGTGGTACATATATACAATAGAATAACACTCAGCTATAAGAAAAGATGCAATGCTACCATTTGGGACAATATAAATGGATCTTAAAGATATTATGCTAAGCAAAATAAGTCAGACAGAAAAAGCTAACATCCACATGATTTCACTCATATGTGGGATATAATACTGAAACTCATACACACACACACACACACAATGGTACAGTGATTACGGGAGGGAATGTCAGTCAGAGGGTGATAAAGGGTGAAGGGGGTCAAATATATGGTGATGGAAGGTCATTTAATTTTGGGAGATGGGCACACAATGCAGTCTACAGTTCATGCATCATCGAATTGTACACTTGAAACCCATATAATCTTATTAACCAATGTCACGCCAATAAATTTAATTTTAAAATACAATAAAGTAACACACATCTAACAAAAGAATGGTATGTATATAGATCAGAGATTTTTCAGCTGGTGTGTAGCAGCGAGTTCACTGGTGTGCCGCAAGATTTTTAAAACATGCAGTAACTGGCAGTTCAGTCAGGGGCACTGCCCTTTTGTCCTTAAATTGTCTTTAAAAAACAAACAAGACAACAGCCAACACAATAATAGTCACCTGGAGTGAGTCAAAATTATACCTATTTTTTTTGTCCAATTAGCAAAAAGTATATGTGCTGCAGAATTTTAGTAATTGGTTTACGTGTGCCATAAAATTAAAAAGGTTGAAAAATCGCTGGTATGGGTTGTAGTACGTGTGCTAAAGATTACATTTATTATTAAAAGGTGATGAATTATAATAAATTTGTTTACAACCGATGTAATTTTTTTCTACTTTTCAATCTATTGTTTACAGCAAGTTACATTTCATAGTTTTTTTCCAAAGGAAAATTATTACTGCAATCCTGAAATAAACTCTATTTGGTCATCTATATTAGTTTTATGTGTACTTATTTGGTTTGGCATCGTTTTGAGATTTTGCAATAATTTTCACAAATGATACTGGCTTTTCCTTTCCTTTCTGAACACACTCTCATCTCAAATGGGAATCAATTCTCTTCCAGTCCCCCCGTCACTTCTCCTCGGAGATCTCTCGGTCTGTTCCATGCATCCATGCCTCTGAGTCTAGATTGTTGGTCAGCTTATTTTTCTCATTAGATCTCACCAATGAATAACATCATATGGTATTTGTGAAGGCCAGGAGGGACAGGGGCTGTATGGAGGAGGACAAAGTGGCAAGGAAATGGGGGATATCCGTAACAGCGTCAACAATGAAAAAAAAAAAGAGTATGAAATCACACATTATGTTTGGGGAAAGGCAGCGGCTGGTAGTAGTTACAGCATAAGAAACAAATAAGAATGTTAGGCCCCAATTCCTTAAAACCTAAGCAGAATTGGGAATTATTTTAATTTCCTGTTTTTTCAAGATAATAGAAGGTGTAACTCACCGTTCACTTAAAATGTATCTTTGATTACCCACTTATGTACTAATGTTACCAAACAAAAAACGGCATTCGGCTGCCTGCCACGATAAAACCCAAACTTTGTGAGGCAGATATTGGTGAAAAAGGAAACAGGTTTTATTCAGGTGCTATAAGATCTGGGATATTGGAAGACTCCCAATTTCAAAGCTCATCTCCTCTGCAAAACCAAGACGAAGACAGTAGAGTTCCAGTTCCAATTTAAAACAGAGTCCTTTGAAGCTGGGAAGCATCTACTCAGCAGTCATAGGTCCCATCCACAGTAGCAAACCTTGTTTCTGGCTACTGATCATTTCCAGCTCCCTTGTAACTTGCACGTGGAGCCTGCGCACCCATGGGCCATGGAACTGCTGAACTGCAAGGTTGTGTGCTCACAAGAAAGAGCATGTGGGATGCATGGGTGAATGCATCACAAGGTCAGCCTGAGAGAGAGAGAGAGAGAGAGAGAGAGAGAGAGATTCCTTCCTGGAGGCCACAGGCCACGTGGAGAGAACAGCCGAGCCATGTGAGTCCAGGTCACCAAGAAGAGAGAAAGAGAGGGTTTCTTTGTTCTCCTGGGATTATATAAATTTGTATGTGTGACAGACGACGTGCTTTTTCAAAATCATCAGTCAACTTCCCAAACTTTTGTGTGCTTCTGGTGGGTCCACTTCCCCTTCAGTCCCTTATCTCCCCAGGCGAGACTGACAAATCTCTTTGGTCTATCGCCTCTCTCTCTGCCACCATTTTGACCACTCTGACACATGTGCCTGCTTCCCCTCGTTCCTACCCATAATCTGGGACCCCAGAACTTTCCCCCGTCATCATTTTGGCTGACGGGGGAAACCTCAGTGGCTCCATCTGACTTTCCACCTTCCACCCTCCACTAATGCTATTTATTGCTCATCTACTTAAATTTTTTGTTGACACATGTACTAAATCTTGATTTTTTTTCTCATTAAGTATAAGAAAACTCTTCAGGTATTACCAATACTAACCTTTAGTCAAACTTGATACAAGCATTTCCCCTGTATGTTGTATTATTTTTTCATTGTGAATAAATCTTAAATTTTATCTATTCAAAAAATGTAATATGAAATGGTATCAATATTATTAGTGAAAGAAATAAGAACTATTCCTTTTCTCCCTGCTGTCTTGAAGATTTTGTATAGGTTGTAATGATTTCTTTTTGGAAAATTCATAATATCTCTCTTGTGAATACTATTTGGATTTCATGTTATCCATATGCAAAAATTTTTTTAAGTTACTGATCTCATAAAAATTATTCTAGCTCTATCAAACTTTGCAGAATCAGCTTGTGCTTGTGTTAATCTTATCTTACACATATCATACATAGTAAATAGAGTGTCTGTTTTATTAGCTGAAGATTATTGCTCAAAATTACCTCATCGATTACATAAAGTAATGGTTTACTGATTTAATTTTTGTTTTCAATGTGCACATATTTATCAAGAGTTAATATGAGTAACTCTGCTTTTTTAGCTGCTTCCCTCTAGAGTTTTCTTTTTACTATGTGTATTTATTATCATTATTTTCATAGTAACATACGAAAGAATCTCCAGCTACTTATTTTGTAAGTAAACTTTTTATTTCTGAATAATTGTAAATTTACAAAAAAATATAAAGGTAGTGCAGAGCGTTCTCACACAGCCTATATACCCAGTTTCTCTTATTATTAGCAGTTATATTAATATGGTACATTTGTCATAATGAATGAATTCATATTGATACACTATTGTTAAATAAAAACTTTATTAAAATTTTCTTAATTTTTACCTAATGTCCTTTTACTTTCCATTATCCTATCCATTACATTTAGTCATTATATATCTTTATTTATCATTATATATCTTTGGTTATGTCAGTTTCCTTGTCATTTTTTTAATGTAACAAAAATTACAAGTAGCTAGAAATCAGAACATTAAGATATTAGTTGATTATGTTGTTATTACCACATAAAATTTGGTGGTATGGTTTTGAATAAAGGGGAAGTAATATATTAAGCGATGTTCACCAAAAAAAGGAGAAAAGTGCCCTGTTTCAGAGCAGAGATTGATCTGACATGCCCACATTTACCAAAAATGAAATATTACTGACCAAATTTTATCATTATTTAAGCTAAACATAAGATGATTTATCATAGAATTTTTATTTAGTACACTCTTATTTTTCATAATTAAAAGATTCTATATGAATACATATACTTACATACATGTCTTTATGTTTGTGTGCATACATATGTTCATAAACATAAAAATATTTCTCTATAGTTTCAACCTACATGATACAGCATACTTGATGCAACTCAACTTATAATAGCATGGACACAGGATGATTAAAAATTTATTTGATTTCTTTGTTTCACAAAGTATTTTCAACCATTTTTTTTGTTTTATTACTCATTTATTGCTAATCACATTGTTCATGCAACATCTCTATAAGTAACATTCCCTTTGAACTGTTCTGTTATATTGACCTGAATAATGCCATTCAAAACCATTGTCCTACAAGTTCTTCCCAGGACCCACCTGAAGCACAGTAAAAGAACTTTTACATAATAAAAGTTTTGAATGTCTATGGCCCATAATACATCAATCAATAAGAGTATGGGGTTAAAGTTATGCTAAACATTTTACTTTTGACCCAGAAAAATATTATGTAATTTTACCATTTCTTTCTCCAAACTCAGACACACTTTTTACCTCTCAATTTATCATTTTTAAGTCATTAAATGATGTTAGGACCCAACACTTATTTCGCCCCTTAGCAAAATGTTCTGTGTAGTGAAGGGGCAGAAGGAAGTATTGTGGCTTGTGCTGTTTTTTTTCAACAGGAAAATGAGATTAGAATAACATCATATTTTTCTCAGAGATCAAAACTGATCAGACATCTCCTGTCTCAGTTCTAAATTGGAAGCTCAAGACTTGCTTAAATTTTTCACATGAAGCAGGACGGTCCTTCTCTGATCAGGTGTGTGTCTGTCTGTGTTTATGTGTTTCTAAGGACTATTATTCGAGAAATGAGGGACTCTTGAGGTTTAAACCTCAAGAAAATTTCTAAAAATATTTGTGCAATAAAATAATTGTAACTGATTCTTGAGTGTTTAAATAGAATCACTGAGGACAAGGAATGCTTATTACTTCTGAAGTGTACTCATTCTCACTTTATTCAATGATAGATAATTAGGATAAACTTATTTTTAAAAAATCAGAAGTTACGATGTTCCTGTAATATGAAGTCTGGTAACTAAACAAAACCAGAAGAATGAATCTTTACATTTGGGAATGAAAAAAATTGAATTTCAATTTGAATTCTCACCTTTATGAATTTTGTGCTCTTATGCAAGGCACTTACTTTATGTAATACACAATTTTACTTAGAAAATAAAACAAAATATATCTGTTGCTTTCAACTATTATGTTTAATTATGAAACATTTTATTTTAAAATCTAAGCATTATACATATTTATTAACTATTTTTTCTGAGAGCTTTGCTAGACACTGTAAAATGTTGCTATATAAATAAATAGATTATTTTTGCTAATGATATGCTGAAAACAATTATCACCAATTCAATAAAACAAGTATAAATAAAAAATCATGTATGTTGTTATTGAATATCAGTGACAAAAAACATTTTTCCATTAATTATCTTAAGGTAGGCAAATTTAAAAACTCATTATATATTTTTACAGTTTTGTAACCAAGATAAGCTCAAGAAATTATTTACCTGACTTTGTATATTCTTATATTCATTCATTCCTTTTTAAGTATATTCATGGAGGAAATTTTTCTGTATTCTCCCTTTCCAATCAATGTATTTCATTTTACCACAAAGAAAGAAAATTTAAAAATGAGTTATTTTATTTTATTCAGGAACCTTTTTAAAATTAAGACTTTGGGTTCATTTGTGTGGTAGATGAGAAGTCATAATTATATAACGAGGTTGGTCCAAGATTGGTGGGCTCATACAACACGAGTACGTACTTTGCACATAAATGTGTTGGTTGGTCTATGCATGATTTCAATACACCCAGAATTTGATACAAGCAAATATGGCATTAAAAAAAACCAATTTATTCTGAATTACTTTGTTCATTTTGTGTTCATATCACATTATATTAATGTTACATTTAAATCAAATCTTTAAAAACTTGAAAGCTTGTTTCTCCTTTATTTTCTTAACTACCTAAAGTAAATTCTCTCACAATTTGAGGCAGCCTGAAGTAGTGACAGCCTCAGAATTTGGAGTTAGAAGAGTTGAATTTTAATCACACTTTTTACCAGTTTCTAGTTTTGAGATCTGGGGTAATCCATGTACCTAAGTTTTCGGTTGTTTCTTTTTTCCTGAGAAGTAGAGATATAAAACATGTGATATTTATCTTAGTGAATTCCTATGATATTCAAATAAAATGGCATATATTTGAAAGTTTCCTGAAACTAAATATTATACGACAAGTATTATAAATTAGTGGCAGCATTATTTTAAATAAGTAATACTATATTGGCCACTTCTAAAATTCAATTTCTTCATTCATAACATAATATTTATATCATACATCAGTTATGTATTTTATGCACAACACTATATAATGTCTGTATTGCTTTAGTTAAATTTTAGGTATAAAAGATAATTAACATTAATATTTCAATTATAAAAGCTTGTACATACTTAATAATTTTACTGTTTCAAGAAGAGAGCAAAATGATTTTTTACTTGTTTTCTTTCAGATGCAAGATTGTCTTTATCTTCAACTTTTAGACTGCCTTATTTTATTCTTTGTGTGTCCTTCACTATGAAGAAAATTATACACACTAGCCATTACTGTTTACTATGGGATTGATGTTATTGATACTAACTGCACATTATTTTATTTCTCTTTTAAGAATAGCCATACCACATAGTATTGATTTCTTTGTTCCTTCTTTTGTCTCTCTTTTTTTATTTTTGTGCAATTTGTGAAGTTATTGAGTTAGTAAATGTGGCTCTGTAAATTAAACACATCTAATTTCCTAAGGCCCTATGTTTCTACTATAAAGTGTATTTATTTTAATGTTAGATTTAAATCATTGTTAGAATTAACTCAGGTTAATAGTACATAAGATTTTGCTAAGATATTTTGCTATAAAATAAATATAATTTTATTTATACTACAAAGTGCAGACATTATACTAATGAAATAATATAAAGCAAAATTAACTTGATGATATATTTTAAAAGGAAAAGGATAGACATGGCAAGTTAAAGCTTAAAATGTAATGATATTTAATTTAATGATATCTTAAGTAAAGATATTATAGAATTTTGTACTATTTCTTAAATATGTTTTCAGGAGGGAGTTAAGAGGAACTGTTTGTATTTATTATTTTATCTCCATGGAAATTTTAAAAAATGATAACTATGATATCTCCTAGGGGTGAACTGGGGAACTTGCAGAGGGGAATAGGAGGTAGTATTACATTTTTATAGTCTCATTTTAAATCATTTACAACAGACTTATTTTAACTGTTCTGTGAAAAATAATTGAGGAAAAAACTCTGTTATTGCCCCCACATAAAAATTGCTCTAACCTTTATATTAAATGTAAGAATACCAGAACACTTTAATCTTTCTCTCATTTTTTTCACTTTTTCTTTGACAGTATCTCCATTTTTTATTGTCCAGTCTGTTGCTCTTGCTATGGGAATCCATTTCATTGTAATGGGAATGATAGGCAGTGCCATTATGATAAATTGTAAGTGCTAACAGAGTAGATAACATTGTTGATCTAATAATTGTTATGCATTACTTTGATTAACATTCAGAAGCACAGAGCATTAACTAGCAATATCAAACATTTCTTTATATTTTAGCTATTAGTCTAGAAACTTGTCAACCACTTTTATTTTTGCTTGGACTATGTTACAGTGATACAAAACCTTCTAATAATGATGATTGTTTTAATAGCATCATTCAATCAAGCTGCTCCAATTTCTTTGAATGGTAAGAGAAACTTTTCTGACATTATAATTCTTTTCAATTTTTAATTGTTGATACTATTACAAATATCCTCCACCTCCTCCTTTTTCCCCTTTCCACCAGACATCACTGAGGCATCATTCTATTTGTCCAAGGGCTAAGCATATATGCATATATATTCCTTGGTTAATCTCTTCTAATCCCACTATGCCTCACACCTCAAAGGACATATTGCATGTATATTTGTATATGGGCTTTAAGCATGTATCAATGCTTGATACCAAGAAAGAATGTAAGACAGATCATGTATCATAGAAATGTATATTTGAAACCTATATAATTTATTAACCAATATCACCTCAATAAATTTAATAAAAAATAGAGTATACAGGAATATAATTTTTTAGCACAATTCTCAATAGTTTTTCAAATTTTATTTTTATTTTTTAGAATGAGGGAAATAAGAGTAGAGAACAGTTTATTGGCATATCTCCTTATTTATCATCCATCTATCTGTAAATAAGTAGAGTTAGGTCATTAGGTATGACCATATGGTTTAATATTGGGAACTTTAGAGTTACAATTTTAAAAAAGTTATGTAACCTGTCTTGAAAAAAAAAACTTAATATTCAGACATGTGGAGAACTAATAATATATTCTTAATTTTTAGAAAGTTACTGTGGACCATGTCCTAACAACTGGATATGTTATAGAAACAACTGCTACCAATTTTTTCGTGAGAGAAAAAACTGGTTTCAGAGCCAAGCTTTTTGTATGTCTCAAAATTCCAGTCTCCTGAAGATATACAGCAAAGAGGACCAGGTTAAGTGTTGTTTAATTCATTTTCCTGTATTGAGTCCTAACACGTTTGGAAATTCTCTGGGATATGAACCTGAAATATCACAGAGACACTGGGCTTAGACATACCAACCACAAAACTGTCTGCATTAAAAATAACAAGCACTAAATCCAGGAAAACACAAAAATTTCAGGTATTCCATTTGTGCTGCTTAAGTTGGAATTATGCCAGAAGACAGAATGCATTTTCTAAAGGTTTGAGAAAATGATTACATTTTAGGGTTTTGTCTTCACTAAAATTCTGAGAACTGACTTTATTTGTGATTTCAAACAGGATTTCCTTCGACTGGTGAAGTCCTATCACTGGATGGGACTAGTACAAAATCCAGCAAATGGATCCTGGCAGTGGGAAGATGGCTCCGTTGTCTCTCCCAGTCAGTAAGTCTCCACCAAGAGGTCTCTCCGTGCAAATCTGTCTCCAAGCTATTCCTATGATCGCGCACCTATCCCATTTTCCTTCACACAGTGCCAGGGCATTCCTATATGCTAACAGAGTCAGCCAAAAACTCTTAGGGACTAGATTTAGTAGAGTGGGGAGCACAGCAGCTAATACTCGTAATAATAAGTTCCATTAATTGTTTGCTATGTGCTCAGGCCTGTGCAAGATAGGTGTAACGTCAGGCTCATGTTACACTGAGTCTGAAGCAGAGAGGTTAAGTATCACATTCATTCTTTTACGAAGTTATTACCAGAGTTGTTGAGATACGTTTGACATCCAATAAAGTGCACAGAGTGAAAGTGTACAATTGGGATAAATTGTGACAAATGTATCCATCAAAAAAACATTAATAACATCAAGATAATTAACATTTTATCTGTTGCTAAACATCTTCTTCGCACCTTTATAATCCTTCCTTCTTGTCCTTCCTACCTACCTCTTTCTATCTCCAGTCAATCATCTGCTTTCTGTCACGATAGATTAGTTTGTAATTACAGAATGACATTAATGGAGTTCTGCAGTATGCACTGTTTTTGTGTCTGGCCTTTTTAACCACTGTATTATTTGAAGATTAGCCACCTCATAGCACGTATGAAGAACTTATTTCTTTTCATGCCTGAGAGCTTTTCCATTTATAGGTGTTGCTCGTTATGTTTATTCTTCCATAAGTCAATGGATATTTGGGTAGTTCCCAGCTGTGGATTATTGAAAATAAAGCTACTTCAGAGGTCTTCTGGTCAAGGTGGTGGCATAAGTAAACACGGTACTCATATGCCCTAATAACCATATCAAAATTACAACTAAACTACAGAACAAACATTATTCAGAACCACCTAAAATCTATCTGAGTGGAAGTCCTACAACTAGGGATTTAAAGAAGCACATCCAGGCTGCTAGGAGGGGTGGAACAGAGAATGGGCTGATCCCACACCAATGAGAATGGGATAAAAATCAAGAGAGATATCTCAGCTGTGGAGGACCCCCTGAGGAGCTAGGGGTCCCAGCCCCACACCAGGACTCTCTGACCCAAGTTGCCAGTGCCAGGAAGAGATAGTCCCCAAACTTCGGGCTGTAAAAACCAGCGGAGTTTGTGGCTCAGTGAGACAGAGAGCTGCGGGTTTACCAGGCTTTCCTCTTACAGGGCCCGCGCACAGACTTATTTGGACTCACTCCCTCTGAGATCCAGTGTTAGGGCCGAAGCTTGGAAGGCACCGGAGAATACGGGGAGGAGCTGAAATATCTGGCATTGGGAGAGCTTGAGGGAGCAGCTTTCTCCCAGACAGAAGTGCTGGCAGAGACCTTGTTTCCCATGTTGAGCCCTCTCCTGACAGAGCCAGCAGCCAGGCGCCATATCTGAGTCTGCATCAACCTGGCTCACACTGCTTTCCCTGCCCCAGTGGTTCCCTGAGACTCCTCCCCAAAAACTTGGGAGCCCACCAAAGCTGTTTCAGTGGCTTTTCCACATGAATGACCTGTCCTGGCTCATGCTTCAGACTTCCCTAAAATGTCACAGGAACTTCCCCCAAATCTCAAAAACAAGCAGCATCTGGCCTCAATGTAACCTGTAACTCTTGCTACGTGGCTCCAGAATGGGCACTAGTGACATGGCTTTGGATCACAGCACAGGTTTTCCTGGTCACCACCAAGCCCAGCACATATATCAGCCATCTGCAGATCACACCGTAGCTCTTGTAGGTGTTCCCAGGCAGGACACAGATGGTGGCTGACCTTGTACTTTCTAGGAGACCCCAGAGCCAGTGCAGACATGGACAGCTTCAGATCACATGGCATTACAACCATGACCATGAGCCACACACCCAAGGGCAAACTTGATGAGCACCAAAGCCCCAGTAAAGCGAGTCCCGCTTAGTAGGATCTGCTCCAGCACAACAGCTGCTCAACGGTAGTCACAATCCATCCTCCCAGCCTGTCAGCCTGGGAGTCAGTCCCTCCGAGTGAGGCCAACAGCCATCAAGTCTCAACTACAACAGGACAGTGAACAGCTGAGAATCCAATCAATGATTTGGAATATAAGAAAGCAAGAAAATACTTAAAACAGCAAAAAGAAAAAGAATCAAATACAATGAAGATACTATAAGGAGCTGCTTGGGCAATTTCAAGTGTGCCAACATTTGCATTGTTGGGGTGTTGGAAGAAGAAGAGAGAGAGCAAGTAATTTAAAAATTATTTGAAAAAGGAATGACAGAAAATTTCCCTAACCTGGTGAAAAACACCGAACATGCAAGTCCAGTAAGCACAGAGAGGCCCAAACAAGATGAACCCAAGGAGGCCCATAACCAAGACACATCATAATTAAAATGCCAAATACTAAACACAAAAAGAAAACTTGAAGCAGTAAGAGAAATCCATTAGTTATCTACAAGGACGCTCCCATAAGACTGTCAGTTGATTTCTCAGCAGAAACTTTGCAGGCTAGAAAAGATTGGCAAGAAATATTCAAAGTGATGAAAACAAGGACCTACAACCAAGATTACCCTACTCAGCAGAGCTATCATTAAAATTGAAGGAGAGATGAAGAGTTTTCCAGGGAAGAAAAAAACTGAAAGAGTTCATCACCACTAAATCAGTATTACATGAAATATTAAAGGGTCTTCTTTTAAAAAATGATAAAAATATGAACAATAAAATGGCAATATCCCTGACTGGTGTGATTCAGTGAATTGCATACCAGACTTCAAAGTAAAGGGTCACTGGTTTGATTCCCAGTAAGGATACATGCCTGGGTTGCAAGCCAGGTCCCCATTGGGGCACATGGGAGAGGCAACCGTACATTGATGTTTCTCTCCTTCTCTTTCTCCCTCCCTTCCTCTCTTTCTAAAAAACAAATAAATAAATTCTTTTAAAAATAAAAAATAAAATGGCAATAAATATATATCAACAATTGAATCTACAAAACAAAAATAAACAAACAGAACAGAAATAGGCTAATAGGTACAGAGAACATTTTGAGAGTTGCCAGATGAAAGTGGGTGGTTAGGATGCATGGGTGGAAAAGGTGAAGGGATTAAGAAATACCAATTGGTTGTTACAGAATAGTCATGGGGATGTAAAGTGCAACATGGAGAATATAGTCAATAGTATTCTAATAATTATGCATATTGTCAGAGAGGTACAAGACTTACTGGGATTCACTTAGTAAGTTCTCTAAGTCTAATCACTGGGGTGTTCAGTTGAAAGTAACTAATGGTGTTTATCAACTATAATTGAAAAAGAAAAAATAATTTAAAAAGAAAAAAGTTACTTGATGTGTACAAGACTTTGAATGAGCATGAGCTATCCTTTTTCTTACATAAATACCAAGCAGTAATATAGATGGATCATATAATAAGTATATGTTTAACTATTTAAGAGTCTGCCAAACTATTGTCCAAAGAGTTTGTGCCATTTTGCAATCCCCCTAGCACTGTGTGACACTTCCAGTTGCTCAACACCTTGGTCATTATATGGTTTGAATTTGCATATTCTTAATAACTAATGATCTGTGCATCTTTTATGTGCTTTTGTATCATTCATTTTTCAATTTTTCTATTTCACTGATTTCTAAGCTGTTCTTTATCTACCATCTTCTCACTCAGAGTTCATTAATCTTACTCTAGTTTCTAATGGTAAAAACTTACATATTCGTATGAAACCTTTCCTTTTTTCTAATTGAAGCATTCATGCTATTAAAACATGAGATGATTTGGCAACATCCTCACATATTATGAGCTATTTATTTTCATTCAGCTCGAAATAGTTTCTAAATTCCCTTTTGCATTATTCTTTGATCCATGAAATTTCCCAAAGTGTCAGTTTCCAACATTTGGTAATTCCCAGAGATATTTCTGTTATTAATGTCTAATTCCATCTTGATCAAAAGCGCTTTTTGTGACTTACATCTAATTACATTTAATGATATTGGTTCTATGGGCAAGACTATAGTCTATTTTCTGGGATGCTATATATTCCCTCCTAGACCTTAAAAATGATCTGGGATGACCTCATTTCTTGAGAATGAATGGCTTGAGAGTTCTTTTTTTTTTTTTTTTAAAAGAGTTTATTCTCTAGGAACACAAATAAGATTTTGTATGATGTATTATCTCATTTTTTCCATTCTGCAAGTGCAGAAGTTCATTTTTGGAAACAAATCAGTTAGCATGCTAAATTTCTGCTCATGCTTGTAACAAATATTGGTTAAGTGCCACTTAAATTTCAGAAGCTATGAAAAGATAACTACAGAGGTGAACAGAACATAACTCCCTCAAGAGCTTCAGTCTTCAGTTGGAAATACAGTTATGAACAAATAAGTAAAATCCCATCTGATCTGAACTCTATCAGAAAAATTATGAAAGAGGTATGGAAAAATAAACACAGAAATTGAAGAAATGCAAAGTACAGTGATATTAGAGGGAATGAAGTTCTAATGGGCATGTATAGTCCAACTAAGAGTTGTTACTAAAAAAATCTCTCATTTTTTTCTCTTGCAATGGCTAGTTGTTTCTGTATAGACATAATAATTCTCAATATATGACATATATATATTTATAAAATGAGATCATGGTCATTTTTGGTATTAATTTCATATTGAAGTAGCATCATTAATCTTTCCTCAGCCTTAACTTTCCTGCCTGTTGTTGGCAGAAAACAAATCACTATTTATTACATTAATCATATAACTACAAAATACTGAACATTCCAGAGTAAAATAGATATACACATATAATTATCTCTACCTGAATTGCTGAAACACCCATACATGTACCTATGTGTGTATATCAGATAATTTTATAATTAAAAGAATTTCTTACTAAGTAAAGTTATATATTATATTTGAAGACTATTGTGCATTTTTCACAAAGCATGACTGAATTCTGAATTTATTTCAAACCCAAACATTCTAAAGATTTCATTTCACTTGGACACACATATAAAGAGATCCCAGAGTTTCTAAATTGATTTATTTCCAAAGTATAAGAATAATAGACTATGATTTACAGTCGAATGCAGTTTTACTTTTATTATCAGAGTTACCCATATTTTGCTATTCTGTAAATTAGGAAAGGCCAGGCATAGTCCTTAAATTTCCTAAGATAATATTATTTCATTACCTATATTTAAATGAATGTTATTCATTTTTTATTCTTCTGCATTGGTGATGTCATAATTGTAATTTGTCTTTCTCCCTAATCTAGGCTAACATTGGTTGAAATGGACAATGGAAACTGTGCAGTTTATGGCTCAAATTTGAAAGGTTACACAGAAAACTGTATGACCCCAAACACATACATCTGCATGCAGAGGACTGTGTAAAGAGTTTACTGTTTATAAAATATAAAGGATTTGAAAACAAAAACGCCATTCTCTGAGTGTTCTTCATGAAGAAAACATCCAGAAGAAAATTCCAGCAATATTTATTATTTTTTCATCTGACATGCCACAAATCATGATCAGCAGCAAACAAAGGCTAAAAATTAAAAGCTTTATCTTCTATAACATGTATAATTTTTAAGTCATTGAGTGATGAACAAGTTAATTCTTAAGTTTAGTAAATTGTTGATTATACCTATGGTTGAACTAAATTTTAAACCACCATTTTATATCATTTTATTAAATATTCAAAAATATTAAACTAATAAGGTTTTTAAAACTTTGCAAACACAATACATTTGAAAATTAAATATGCTTAAAGGTGGGTCATTACACTTGCTATTTTTGAAATTTTTCTAAAGTGGAAAAATCAACAAAAACACCCTCAACTTTTCAAAATGTCACTACTAATTTTATATAGCACATGAGAAATTTGGCAGAAATTGAGTTATTCCTTATAACAAGAAGATGTCACTGACTGCTACAAAAATGAAAATAAAGAATTGAGTTTACAGAGGCCTTACAAGAGTTCTAGCGGGGGAAATGGTATCTGAGTAGAAACCTGAGCAAATCATTAGGGTACCAGAAACCTAGGCAATTGGAATAATACTTGCATACCTGCAACAGTTGGAAGTGTCTTCCATGACCACTTCAGAGTCATGAAGAGTGTTTAAATTCCCTTGATCTTTACAACCATTTCCAAGCCATTGCTTTCCAGACTTGTGAAGAAGGTCATTCTCTCAAGGTCACTTTATTCTCTGACCCCTATGGGTCATATGTCATTAAAATGAAAGAGAGAAAAGACTCCAGAGAAATACCAAGAACTTATGTTCCATATAAAGCTACATAGAGTGACTCAACTTTATTTAAAACTTTGAAGTATTTGGTGGACTTAAAACTTAAATCACTAGAAGTTTTTTTGATTACTGCTTCAACTTTATTAGTTGTAATTGGTCTGTTCAGATTATTTCTCCTTGATTTAATTTTGGGAGATTATATATCTACAGAAATTTATCTATTTCTTCCATCAATTAAATTTAAACTTCAATCATTAGAGTTTTATGAAACCTTTCACTTCTTATGTTTCTTATTTTTTCTTTTCATCTTTAACCTTTTTTATATCATATCATTAACTACTAGTCATATATTTGAGTTCCCCTTGTTTATTATGTTTAAACTTATTATAAAAATTTATATGGGATTTAATATTTTAAAGATACACATTTTTAAGTAAATAAATGTTTTTCTTAAAGTAAAAAATTATCCTGAAAATTTTTCACTGTTACTTCTTTTTCCTTCTCCTTTAACTAAATTTATTGAGGTGAAATTGGTTAATAAAATTATACAGGTTTCAAGTGTACAGTTGTATAATATATTGTCTGAACACTGTAAGTCCAACACACAAAGTCAAATAGTCTTCTGTCTTGTATTTGACCCCTTTACCCTTTACTGCCCCAGCCTTCTTCCTTCTGGTAACCACCATACTGTTGTCTACATCTATGAGTTTTGCTTTTGTATGTTTTTCTTGTTTGTTCATGTGTTGCTTTCAGTTTTATATCCTACATATGAATGATTCAATCTCCATATACTGCCTTCTTACATATACAATGACCAACTCCTTGGCAGTTACCATCAAGTAACTGACCATCTCGTATGTATTTACAATGATTAGAGGCAGTGTCCGCTTTTTTTAATTGGAGCCTAGAAAAGAATTTCCATTTGAAATTAAATTTATTTCACATATAAATTCTATTATAAAAACTTATGCATTTATTAAAGTATAACAGAACATACATTTAACTGGCAAATTTACTAGTATATAAATAAGTAATATTTGTTTTATTCCAATGTTATTTGAACTGTTAAAGAAAGAAAATGACTGAGTAAGGAACTCCAAAACACTGTTCCACTAACGCAATGGTAAAGCTGACAGAAAATGTCTGACTCAAAGTTTTCAAAAATCTGGATTCTAATGAAAAAACTTACAACAACTAGAGCTTGTTTAATGAAGAAAAAAGCTGCTAAGTTTTGATAAGAGAACATTTGTTTTATTCAAAAATAATGAAAGAAACATGCTAAAAATATTCTCAGTCTTGACAAAATGGAACTTTTTAAATTTATCTTAAAATGCACTAGGATGAGCTGAATGCCTTCTACATATTAGCATTTTAAAAATAAAATTAGTGCTATATTTAATATTAGAGCATATTTCAAAATTCGTGTCCCAAATCCTTTCAATTCTTAAAAATTATTGAGAGTCCCAAAGACATTTTGTAATTTAGGTTATATTTATCAAAATTTGTCATACAAAAAATCAATTCTGATACATTTAAGAAGATTCATTTATTTATATGTAACAATAATAATAATACATATACATTTTGAGTTAATATAAGAATATTATATTTTCTAAAAAAAATAACATCAACATTGTTTTACATTTTGGCAAAGCTTTAATTTTCTAGTATGAAAGGAAAAAAACAGAATTTTTATATCTGCTTCAGTGTTTAGTCTATTTTGATATATGTGATAAAGCTTCAAGAGTACTTCATCATTCACTCTTACAAAAAAAGAGGCTGAAAAGAGAAAATCACCTTTCTATATTACTTTAAAAATAGTATTGATTTCACAGCCATCTCAAAAGTGTCTTTGTACATTATGTAGTAAATTATTTAGGTTCACAGAAATAAAAATTAAGTTTATACTTAGAAAATCATCTGTTTTATACTAGAGTATAAGTCATTAGCCTCTATACTAAACATTATTGTTATTCATGTCTAAGGGTCAAATATCTGAAGAGTCCTTAGGAATAATCAGAATCAGATTTAATAGAAGACCTAACATCATACAACTTAAGATCTATTCATATGCACACTAGAGAATTAGTTAATATTGTTATTTTGGGGCTGGTGCTTTGAAATAGCAAAAAGATACTTGTCTAAGGTAAAAGCTGAGCCATCTAGCCACGCCCATTTCACACCCATTGGGTGCTGTTGTAATGGAAACTGATTCAAAGCTTTCAAAGATGCATAGAACATAGAATTTTTGAGAGTTCTTTTTTAACAAAATCCTGTGTAGAATGAGAACAGAAAAATAATAAATAAATCTGACACTTTCAGTTGGGCATCTATGTATATGGAAACTAAAAGTTTTATTTTATTTTATCTGAAGTTACAGCACTATAATAAAAAATGCTCTTGTTATTTTGTGGCAACTCATTAATAACCAATAATTTCCTTACTTATCAAACAACAAGTAGGGAGCCCTTGAAAGACTCCAAACGTTGTGCTGCATACTGAGTTTGGAAAGGCAGTAAATAGACTTATTACCTAAGAATTTAAGAAAGATGCAAATCAATTAAGTAAGCAATTGCTACAGAAAGGGAAGTACAGGATAAAATGACAGTATTTGTCAGGAACTCCTATAGGACCAGCTGGTCAAGATAAATTTGTTCGTATTATAATAATTTTAGGATAAACCAGTAAAGTGACTAGGCACTCAGTAGGGTAAGGTTACAAAGTGTTGGGAAGAAGTGGTCAAATTGAGAAGAAAAGATTGAATTACTCTTAAGAAGACAATAAAGGGAGTATGTTAAAATTAGTGGGTGAGGAAGTGGAAGTGATAAAACGTGAGTGGTAACTAAGGAGGCTGCAGAGATGGGTGAGAGGTCAGACATGAATTAAACTTGTACAAAATATGGCTTAGGGACTCTCTATGGGTCCTGAGGAGGAGTTTCAAGAAAGGGACTAGCAAAATGCGATGTGTACTATATAAATTTCCCTGTGTTGAATCAGTAATCTCAGAAGACAGAAAGCCTAGAGCCCAAGAATTAACTCCCAGAGAAGCTTACTAACATTTAAAAAACATATACATGTTTTTACCATCTCTGTGTCAGTATATAATCTAAGAAAACTTGAACCCGAAGTAGAACAATGAAGTTAACAGTCTATCCAAGCAATTTTATGCTTAGAAACAAAATAGCAGTTTTCCCCATGTTGGTGCCAGTTGTCTTCAAAAGGCTGACATTTCCAACCTAAATAAAAAATCAGAGTGAGTCTAAATGTTTCCTACTGGTACATTTATATATAGAAATATGTGATTAAGTTGTGAAAATAAATGATAAGCAATGCAGAAATTATATGACAAATAGAGTCACCATTTTAAATTGCTGCCCTGTTAACTAAGTTCAACAAGGCTAAAACATAGCTTATGACACTGTAATTCTAAGAGGACAATTTTAATATATCAGCATTATCAACAACTTCCAAATCAACCAGATTTTCAGTAATTATGTTTCTGGGTATCTAATACTGCATCTCTGTGTAATATAATTAATTAGTTATTATGTATGTATACAAATAAATACACAGAGTTATTTTCTAACTCTTAAAAAGTAGAACCTTTTTTCCTAATTACCTGTTGCGTTTGAAATCAATCCCTTCTGGTCTGTTTCATGAGTGGAATTGGGATTTCCTGAATGTCATCCTGTTACTGAAGACCAAATCACAAATATCAGTTTGGTTTGTCACATTTACCCACAGGCAAATTTGCTGTTGTCCAAAGCATTTTACTCATTGTATGACTACAGGTAAGAAAAGTATATTATCATTGATATCTAAATAGCACAATATAATTGGAGAGGCATAGATGGACAAATCAAAAAATAATACAAGTCTGACAGAAATGAACATAGTAATTGGGAATAGCAATACATAAATTATACAATAAATATAGAGCATAGATTATAGAGCAATTGATTCTGAATAGGAAAAACCAGAGGGCAATTTCTCAGACATAATCCTTGTGTAAGTCTAAGTAGCAGATAAAGGTTAACAGGTAACAAAAGAAAGAAGACCTATTACTTCAGGTGGGTGAGTAGGTAGGAATGAGCCTCGGGGCAAAGTTAAAAAAGTTCAATATAAACACATAGTTAGTAATTTCACCTCTA